CCTCTCTCTCCTCTCTCTCCTCTCTCAAATCAAATCTCAAATCAAATCTCAAATCTCTCCTCCACTCTCCCCCTGTCCCCCCCTCCCTCCTCCACTCTCCTCTCTCCTCTCACTCGTCCTCTCACCTGTCTCTCCTCTCCTTCCTCCCTCCCGGGGCTGGTTGGGGCGGGAGGTAGCCGCCCTGCTCGCCGCGGCGGGAGCCCCCCGAGCTGAGCCCGCGGCTGCCGCCGCTGCCGCTCTGATAAGCCGCCGTTCGATGGAGCGCGCGGCTTTAGCGCGCGACGCGGGCCGAGCCGGACCTCATCGCGCTGATAACACGCACACGCCGGCCTGCACGGGCTGCACGGGCCGCGCCCCGCGACACCCGTCTGTTTGTTTGCTTTCGTCACCACGCACACTCGCGCGACACAAAGCATGCGACAAGCGGTATATTTGGACTGGAGAAGCCAAGGGTTGGGTCTCTAGTCGCGTGTCGTGTGCCGCTCACCTGCCGTTCGTTCACGTCACACTCTTTCCGCCGGCGGTGCAGTATTTCTCGCGACGGTGTGCGAGGAGAGCCATGCCCGCGTGTGGCCTCGCCCCGCCTCGCCCACTCCTAGGAAACGCGGAACAATGATAACGCATCCATACTCGCAGAATTACATGAGCGGGTACACGACTGTATTGTTGCCATAAACGTCGACCGTTAGCAGCTTTCTAACGCCAATTTGTGTTCCTTATGGTCCAGGGTACCCGGTGTTCCAAAGGGGGGCAGAGGCGACAGAGGTGCGCGCCGCGCGGGGTTGGAAGAGGTCGACGGGAGATCGGGTTAGACGAGGGGGTACGGTGGTGCGTAGGTCCCCGGAGCACAACTTACTCTGTGGGATCCGGACCGGCCCGCTTACATCATGGCGAATTGCGAGGAAAGGCTCGCGTCTTCGCGATTCGCGAAAGCAGTACGGATTGATATAGGTTTCATGCGCTCCACGATAACAAGAAACAGCGCAAAACGTGGGGAGGAAGGTGACACTCTCAGCTGCTCGCTTCGTCTTTTTTTCCCTCCCTCGTGATTTTTGCTCGATAATGGCAAGTTGTTGTGTTGTTATTATTATGCGCGGCGCCAAAAAGCGCGACACTTTGAACTTGTACACTGCTTGCGGCGGGCCGGCGGTGGCAGATGGTTGACCCGCGCCGCTGTCACGTTCGGGTATCCCTCCGCGCCGCTCGCTCGGCCCATCTGTGTGTTTATCGGCAAGGTGCCGTTCGATAAAGCGCGCCCCACCCATCGGGGGCCCCCGCTGCCCCCCACCGGGCCCCCACGGCCCCACTGTACTGTTGAGATAGGATAGGACTGTCCCCCCCGCTCGCCTCGCCGCCTCGTCCCGCCCCTGGCCTGGTCGCTGAACTTCGCGCCTCGCGCGCTCTCACATACAAACACCGGCGACACGACGACGCGAGCTTTTCAAAGTCATTCAAGGCGGGCGAGGGGTCCAAGTAGCAGCCGCGCGACACATACACACTATGCGAAAACAGCGGCAGCCAGCTGGCAGCGCGCGGAGGCTCGGCCCGGGCGCGGGGGGGGGGGGGGGGGGGGGGGGGGGGGGGGGGGGGGGGGGGGGGGCGGGGGGGGGGGGGGGGGGGGGGTCCTCTGCGGCCGCACTCGCTCGAGTTGCTTGCCCTCCCGCAAACCGGTCTGGATCCGCCCCTACCGCCTCTTCTCGTGCAGCACTGGCCGCGCCGGCGCTCGGGCGCGTCCACCTCCGGCCGAGTCATTGCTCAGGAGGAGCCTCCGTCAGGGACCCTGACCCCGCGGGGGGGCCTCCGCCGGGCTTCGCCGGGCTCCGCCGGGCGCCGCGCGGCGCGAGGATGAGCCGCGTCGTCCAATGACCTCCTGGCGGTGGCCGCCCGCATGGCTGCAGGCGCGCGGCCGCCCCCCGCAGGGCCTCGCCACGTGCCCTGACCTCCACCCCGGGGCCCTTCCCTCCGGCCATTCCCTCCAGTGTCCCTTTGGCCCTTCCCTCCAGCAGCGTCTCTCCGGCCCTTCCCTCCAACAGCGTCCCTTCTGGCCCTTCCCTCCAACAGCGTCCCTTCTGCCCCTTCCCTCCAGCAGCGTCCCTCCGGCCCTTCCCTCCAGCATCGTCCCTTTGGCCCTTCCCTCCAGCAGCGTCCCTTCTGGCCCTTCCCTCCAGAGAGCAACGTCACTTCCGGCCATTCCTTCCAGCAGCGTCCTTCCGGACCTTACCCCAGCAGCGTCCCTCCAGCACTTCCCTCTGGCCCTTCCCTCCAGCAGGGTTCCTTTACGGTCCTTCTCTCCAGCAGCGTCCCTTCTGGCCCTTCCCTCCAGCAGCGTCCCTCCAGCCCTTTCCTTCGGCGCTTCCCTCCAGCAGTGTCCCTCTGGCCCTCCCCTCCAGCGTCCCTCCGGCGCTGCGCTCGCTGCCTTGCCGGTCTCTTACCTCTCACCTCTTCACCGGTCAAACGCATGGCTGACTCACGTCACGTGTTGTAGGTAGAGGACCCGCCGCGGGGGAGGGGGCTCGCGGCGCCCGTCGGTGGTGGAGGGGGGCGCGGCGCCGCACAGCGGGCTCATCATCTACTCCAAATTACCTGGCCGCTCCCCCCCAGCCGACACGACGGCGGCGGGCGGCGGGCCGCTCGGGCCCCGCGGTGAATGGGCGGGCGCCGCCGGCTGACGGCGTCGTGACGCCGCTTATCGGGCCGCGGGCGAGAGCACGCCGACGACGACGCCCCCCGTCGTCAAGTCCCTGCTCTGGTGGTGCGCGTCGCGCGTCCCCTCCTTTTCGAAAATAGACGCATCTCCTGAGCGCGCTATCTGACGTGATGTGATAACCCGGCCCGAGTGGCGGCGGCCCTGGAAGTGTCGCTGCCGCCAGAGAGTGGTCGTGTGGCTCGGACGACGACGGAATCCTTTGCCGCTTGCATTGTTTTAATAACAGGCAGCGGCCGGGCGATGCGTCCGCCCCGCCCGGCGGGCCTGGCCTACTTCCCAGTGCGCAAGTGGGCCGCGGCGCGCTGCTGCGGCGGACCTCCGCCCCCCCCCCCTCCCCTCCCTCTTCCCCCTTGCCATCAGCTTGGCACCTGCCAAAGTATGTGTGTACTCGCGGCTCCGCGGTTCGAATACCGCCGCCGCCGTCCTCTATTTTTAATTGGCGCTGGGGTTGCCGTAGGTCACGGCCCTGTGCGGGCGCGCCACCCTGTAGGAGCAGCAGGGTCCAACAGCAGCAGCCTCCCATCATCATCTCCTTCGCCTCTCGTGTGACGTGTTGCTTGCGCTTGTGTTGCAGTTGTCAGTGTCATCGCCGTGTCAGCGCGTCTCGCCGCCGCCCAGCCAGCAGCGCCCCTGCAGCCCCTGCAGCAGCAGCAGCAGCAGCAGTGCTGACGGAGGCCGTCGCAGCCCGCCCTGCCCTGCCCGACTCAGGTCGGCCGGTGAGTGTAACTGCAAGGCACGAGCGGGAAATCAAAACTCCTGTGCCGAACTGTTCCCAACCGAACGAAATGTTAAGCAAATGTGAAGAATGTCATTCTCATTGTGATTTGGCCAGGTCGCGGTAAATTATTTCATGTATTTCTTGCGATAGGGAGATACAATCAAACGGGCAGCTTTCGTCCACCTAACAGGCAGGGGGGCCGCGGCCACGAAGGTCTTGCCTTGCACATAAGTGGTACCCGTAGCAGCGCCTGCAGGCGGGCCGGGCCGGGCCACCGCCGGCGCGCCAAGCTCTCCGCGGTACTTCCGCAATGCGAAACCGCCTCCGCGCCGTCCCTCGCTGTGCACTCTGGCCTTCTTCTGGGGCCCGAGGCAGGGAGGGGGGAAATTCGCGAAAGTCTCCCCGACCCCCCCTCCCTCGTTCCCTCTCTCTCTCTCTTTCTTTCTCTCTTCCTCAGTGGCTCGCTTGTATAACAGGCGCGTCGTCGCAACACTTTCGCCTAGACCTCCATCCACCCCCTCCTATGGGGCAGCTCGGACACCACTCCACCTCCTCCCTCACCCTCCACCACACCCGACGCCGCCGCCCCACCCCTCTGCGAAGCCTGTCCGAAATGCGCATTAGGTCAATGCCGGTTCGCAGGGCGCCCCGCGTCAGGTGGGGCCGCGGGGCGGGGGTTGGGGCGGGGCGGCGCGAAGGTGTGGCGGGGGTGCCGACGACGTGTGGACACGCGGCGCCGCGCGGCGCTCGGCCGCGTGCCTGGGTACAGTTAGAGCCGAGGGGCCCCTGCAGGGGGCATAGCCGCCGCTTGGCGGCGCAGTGCTTCGCGTCCAGAGCTGCGGGGGGCCCAGGCCGCGGGACCTCTGGAGGCGGACGGCCGCGCACCCTCGCGGGGCCCCTCGCGAGCGGCTCTAGGAGGGGGCGCGCGGCTGTCGAAAGTGAAAGGGAGTGCTGCTGGCCGTCTGTCGGACCCAGCCGCCGCCGCTGCCGTGGTGTACCCGTTGCTTTGGCCGGGGGGTAGAGAGTAGTACTACACCATAGCGCGCGGTGCGATATGGAGGTCACGACAGTCTTGCGCCTCTCCTTCCCGGTCAGCGCCGCCGCCTGCCTCTGCTCCTCGCCTTCCGTGGGGCATGACACAATGACACCTGGCAGGCGCAGGGTGTTGAGACCGCCGCGGCCCGGGGTGCACAACGGCCACCTGGCCTGGCTGCACCCGCTGCTGTTTTGGGGGACATCGAGCTGGACCCACCCGTCTGCTACAACTTTGTCTCCATTATTGTGTGCAGGGCGAGTTTGTCCCTGCTCCTTGCTGCTATTCTTTCCATGGGGCGCTGCCGCCGGCGTCTTCTTCTTGCAGGTGCTACAGAGCAGCCTCTCCTCTGCTGGTTGGTGCATGTCTCTGGCAAGCTCCTCGGGGGGCCGGACGGGGCGGGAGGGGAAGCAGGCGAACAGGCGAGTGTGGCCACGACCTCCGACAAGTTTGGCCGGCGAGGGCCGCGCAAAGCGAGCAGGCGGAACGGGAGGGGCGCGGCACCGAGGCCAGTGACGACGACGACGGCGGTGTTGCGGTGCGGTCGTCGCGAATTCTGGGGCGGGGCGGGCGGTGACGGTCGCGGTCGTCGTGGTGGACGCTGGGGCGGGCGGCGGGCGGCGGCTCCGGAAGGCGGGTCTGCCGTAGGAAAGTTTGCACGCCAGTCAGCGGGAAGGTGATTGACATTGACGGGCGGCAGGCAGACCCGGGCAGTCACTTCGACAAAAAAAAATAACAAAAATAACAATGGTAAACTTGACGTATTTTTGGCAGTGTTCGTGAGTGGGCGAGGGGCGCGGGCGCGCTCTCGCACCTGTACATAAACCGTATACCTGCTCTGCTGCTGCACAGTGCAGCCTGGTGCAGCCGGCCTGGCCGGGCTCGACGGCACTGCGCATGCATGGCACATTTGAATAGGCGCTGCCCTGCCTGCGCTGCGCGGAGGGGGAGTTTTGCAATGGGCGACCGAGGCGGTGGCCGCGCGGCCCACGGATTGAAAAGAGGCGGGGGGATTGGAAGGGAGGGGGGGGGGGGTCGAGGACTCGCGGGGGCTGAGCTTGGACTGCGGGGCTGTCTGTGGGCTTTTCTACGGCGACGCCCAAGTCCAAGTCTCGAAAGGTGTTATAGGCAAGCACACGGCGAAAATAATGTACTGTAAGACATTCTAAGGCGATTTGACTTACTTAGAGGAAATTGTGAAAACTTTCAATGAACCCCCTTAAAATTTGAGAAGTGTACCTCGTAAAATGTGGAAACCCTCTCAAATTATCAGGCATAACCTTCGTTTTAGGCGAGGAACATTCCTGATCGGCTGCGCTGAAAATAGCGGCCCGGTCCAGAGAGCAGAACCTCAATTTGCTCCTCGCCTGGTCGATTCTTGTCCCCCTCCACCCCTTCTTCCCCACCCCTCTCCCCATCGGGCCTCGCGGGGTGAACTCCCCGCTAAACCTTGCCACTGACCTTGCCTTGCTCCTCACTCTCACTAGGCCGTCGGCCCCGCGGGGCGGGGCGGGCTGAGGAGGCGTTCGATTATACTCGCGCGAACACTTCAACTGGCTGGAGCAGACGACGTTTTAAAAAAAATCCGGGCTGTTTTTGTGATCGCTCGTCGTTGCTCGGATGACTGAACGCACGTGTCAGTCTCTTGAGGCTTGATTAGATGAAATGAAATCTGCCCGTCCTCCCCCACCCCCTTCCTCTTCTCTCCTCCTTGTACAACAGGATCAGGCGGTGAGAATGCGACCGAGCACCCCCCCCCCCACCCCACCCTTCTAGACGGCGTCGAGGAGCTTGTCGTGTGCCGGTCGCGTGGGGTCCCCGCCCAAACTAGTCTCTGGTGAGGTGGGGCCAGGGGCTGGGCGACGCAACCGGTGGTGTGACCGAGCTGTGACGACGGGACACGACAGTCACGGCGTGACTGTTAAAGTCACACTATGGTCACTCCCCGTGTGACTGAGCTGTGACGACGGGCACGTAGTGACTGCGACAATCACACTCTAGTTCTAGTCACCAGTTGCCAGCTGTGACGACGGGCACGGCGCGACTGCGACAGTCACACTCAAGTCACCGGAGGGCGAGGGGGTCCATTGGTGGGCACTATGGCGGGGAGTCGCACATCGGCTATGGGCGTGGCCCGTCCCGCCCTGCCGGAGCTGCTGAAGGTGGTTGTCCCCCGCAGACCTGCGCCGCTCGGTGGCTGTATGTCCCCTTTGTGACTTTGAGAGTCACCCTTCCCCCTCCCCCTCCTCCCACTCCCCCCAAAGACGTCCTGTTGCCCTTCGACCCGACTCTCACCCTCCTCACCCCACCTGGCTTCGGCTGCTGGTGCTGGTGCCCCCCGCCCCCCAGCCGGTCTGTCTGCTCCCCCCCCCCCCTCGGTCGCATGTGTGAGGGGCGCTGGAAGGTCGCTGTGCCCTGGCCGGGCGGCGGCCTGCTCCGTCCTGGCCTGGCACCAGCAGCAACAACACCACCATCACCTTACCCCTTCCCTTCCCTCCTCCTCGAGCCAATGCCCCCCGTCGCCGCCGCCGTCTGCTGCTCCGTCTGCGCGCGAGCAGCCAGATTGCCTTCACATGAGTAGTATGGCCGCCCCTGGGCTG